TAATAATATAAATATAACAGAATTAGGACTATCTATCTATCTATCTATCTATCTATCTATCTATCTATCTATCTATCTATCTATCTATCTATCTATCGGCTGCATGTTGTCAGACACCTTGTGCATCCAAAAATCTCACTGGATTATTACAATTAATCGCAAAAGGAATGTTTGGAAATGTAAGCTGATATTTCCTACTGACACACAAAAGCAAAAGATATAGGCCTAAATAACTGTCTAAACCATTTTCTGGGGTGAAATAATAACGTGCCTAAGACTTTTGCACAGTAGGCCTACTGTAATATATATATATATACACAAAATAAAAATCATAATGTTGTAACACTTAACAATAAGTTATCCAGCTGTTCATTGTTTGTTCATGTTAGTTTACAGTGCATAAACTAATGTTAACAAATAGGCCTACAACTTTTGATTTCCATATTAGTAAAAATTGAAATTAACAAAGATTAATACATGCTGTAGAATTGCAGTTCATTCCTATTTTTAGTTAAACAAAGCAGTTTACTAATTAAACCTTATTGTAAAGTGTTACCATTAAAACAATAATAAAATTGCTTCATCGCCAAGCCCATTTATAACACCCAATCTAAAAAGTAATTGAACTGTCCGACAAACGCTGAAAAGGATAAAGGATGAAAACAAATGTAAGCTTCCCACACAGCGCGGGAGTAATGAAATGTGAAATACATGCACATAATCGGTATTTAGTTTAGAAGACAAATAAATTGTTAACAACTCATGCTCTCTTCGCCATGGTGTTATGTTTTAATAACTCCGCCCCCTGCCTGAAATGTGTGGCCTGGTTTGTGTGTCCTGAAACGTGGAAGGGCGCTGCGGTATGGAAGGATACTATTGTGCAGACCAGTATAAAGGCCAGTATTTAAAGACAGGCTGTGTATGATTGTTATCTTTAAGCTCATACTTCACTCTTGAAAAAGAAATGTTTAAAAGAGCACAACTTGTATTAGTGATGACCTTTAATACACATTGTTCCAGAAATTTTAGTGTCTATGTTATAGCATTTTAAAGTGTGTTGGTTTTTTGTTAGTGCTTTTTAATAGGTTATAAATTATAGATAAGTATTCCATTGTATTTAGATTTTTTGTTAAATTGTGAGGTAAAAAATGCAATTATACATTTTAACATGTTGTCTCATCCTATTTTTTTTTATTTATTTTTTTTACTTTTGTTACCCTACAAACATATCCAGTATTTTGCATATCTTTTAAAAAAACTAAAAATATACACCTATTTGAATAACAAGACCTGAAGACATTTCATGTTTGCTATGAGTTTGGTATTTGACAGGAAGAATCATTTATTTTAAAAAAGTATTAAAAAAGTAAACATATCTGTACAATAGTTACTTTTCTTTTTTTCCATTTTCATCTATGCCATAAGCCATATGCATTTTTCTCTATTTAATTTTTTTTGCATGACATAACATATTTCTAAACTTTCACCCCAATTGGTTGCTTCACCACCATATAGATAAAGTCCCACCCAGCTGCAAGGATCTCCACCTCTGCTTATAAACCAGACTCATTGTAAGATATTGGAGTAGTGTAAGCTACACATTACCTGGTTGTTTCTCATTGACCTCACCTATAGCTGGCAAAAGCCACAGTGAGAGATTTGATTATACCACTGATAAAATGACTGGCGTGTGGTTGCTCCTGAGTCTCTTCTTCTTGGGTTCAGCTGAAGCTGGGAAACTGTTGGTTATTCCATCAGATGGCAGTCACTGGTTAGGGATGAAGCCTATTGTGGAGGAGCTGGGGAGGAGAGGAAACCAGGTGGTGGTCGTCATCCCAGAGGCGAGTCTGAGTATGGGTCCTTCACAGAATACCACCACTCTGACATATCCAGTGAACTACACCAAGGATGAACTACATGCGTCATTGGAAGGCAATTTAACTGCAATTCTGAGTAATGACCTTTCTTCTGACCTGTCCAAGTTTCTGGTTTTCTTTTACCAAATGCACCTTCTTCAAACGTTTATAGTGAGGAATGCAGAGGGTCTGCTCTTCAATGAGGACTTGATGAAGAAGCTTCAAGACTACAGATTTGATGCTATTCTCACTGACCCGTTTGAGCCTGTTGGGGTCATTGTTAGTGAATATCTCTCCATTCCAGCTATTTATATGCAAATAAACCTTCCTTGTGGTGTCGACACTCTTGCCAGCCAATGCCCAAGTCCTCCTTCTTATGTTCCACAACGTAATACCCACTTTACAGACCAGATGAATTTGTGGCAAAGGTGTGTCAACTTGGTAAGGACTCTCCTGCAGCCCATGGCTTGTAGATACATGCATACTTGCGCAGATGAGATCGCCTCACGTGTACTGCAGAGAAAAGCATCTTTGATGGAAATCATGAGCCGCGCAGCTCTTTGGTTTATGCGCTTTGACTTTGCCTTTGAATTTCCACGACCGTTGATGCCTAACATGATCATGATTGGAGGAATGGCAACTAAGAAGCCAAAACCATTGTCACAAGTAAGCCCCCTTAATTACGTTTGCATGTAATTGCATGTACATTTGCACTAACAGTATCAGTGTCGTTGCTCTTTGTCCCTCTATCCCATTGCTCACTTTTCTCTATCCATGTCTGTCATCAACTCATCATCATGGGCTGTGAAAATAGCCAGCAAATCCACGAGCAAACCTCACACCATTATCTATACTATATATAGAGAGTGTTTTGTCTAAATTAATGGTGTCTAATGGGCTGAGAAAGAGCAAGAAACTGTTTGGGTCTCTTTTTTTCAGAGTATGTCTGTATGAGGACAGAATCATTCCAGAGATATGCTTCTCTTTAAAGATCTCTGGATAAAGACATCCTCCTTCCACACTGAAATACGCAGAGATTTAACAATTTTCTACCCTGATCGCACGTTATCATGATGGCTGATATATTCTTTTAGATGGGCTAGCTCGAGCGGGACATATTAAAGGGCACAATGTTTTTTTATAGCCGATAGCCCATAGTTTTTGTTACAGTCCAGTGTTGTGTTAGATATTTTTGTGAGATATAAATCACAGATTATTGTCCGAGTCTGTTTTTTTTTTCTAACAGATCAGCATTTGTACAAACTGGTTCTGTTTCATATTTAGACATTTAAATTAATTTGTTCTCTCTTTTTAAACAGTTAAACCAAGTTTTAAAATGAAACCAGACATAGAGGGGGACTGGGTATGGTTGTAACATTGGGAGAGCTGTAACACCACCAATTCCACCAATCAGGGACAAGCTAGGAGTCATTATTTACCCACTTCATCCCCTTACATACAACTAAGCACAATTTATTTGTAATAATCCTAGACAGTGGAAAAGAAAGACAGGTAGATGTGTGCCTGCCAGTGTTTTTATTTTAAGGAACTGGTAAGCTTTCAACGAAAAACAAGTCAGTCTGATCAGACTCCAGTCAATGAAATCTTTATTTTGGCTGTATGGAATCATTTGGCAGCTCTAAGCCAAAGGAAGTGTGAGTAAATCGTGCCCTATGCAGTATCTGGGCCCACCTGCACTCCAAGGTTAACAACATTGATTTTTTCACCATTGTTACTCTGATTGAGTTGAATTCAGTGTAGAATAAAAGATTTGTGTGACAGATAACCAGAGAGAAAGAGATACATTAGATTTGACGTAAGTAGAGTGTGGATGTATTCTAATGTGTGCTAGTATCTCTTTCGGTATACATGACAACCTTTAAAAGTAAAAAGATCTGCTAAAGCCACTTTTTCCACCTGCATCGTGAAAGTGCTTTGTAAGATTGACTCTTGTATATATTTTAACAGTATGTTGGATCATGTTAGATTTAGATGTGTTTATCTTTAGACCTTTTGTCATTTCTATAAATTCATTAGAATTTTAATCAAACACACTCATTTGCTTAAGATTAAATTGCAAACAGGTCATCGTGTGTAAAAACATGTGCTATGTAATCTTTCTCTCAGCACTTTCTTTCATTCAGAGTAGTGTGCTTTTGACCACTTAACCCCCTCATGCCACAGCCCTCTTGAATGTGAGAGTTCATGTTTTTGCGTGACTGCCCTGTGTTCGTGTGTGTTTAGAGAGTTTGCATGATATGTGAGGCAATCCTGTACTGACAGACCATAGTGACTTGCAGAATAGTTTTGAACATTTTGTCAAAAGGTCAACTTTATCCTCTAACAAACTCTGTACTTATGGACCAGAAAAGTGACTTTTTTCCTTCAATTTATAAACAATTGTGAGGGGGAAAATACTTAGTTATGCTTGCAGCTTGATTCAGTTTGTTAATATTACTATTAGTGGCCTCACGTTTATTTTTTTTCTTTCTGATCAATTAAAAAATGTCAAATCCAAAATACAATGACTTGATTACACCTCTTCTATGATTAAGATGTTTTAAATTTTTTTGTTAAAACTAATTTTGATATTTTTAGGCATAAAGTAAAAAATTGTCAGGGTGATACAACTGTCCTGATATCATAATGAAGAAAAAGGTAAAAATTAATCATTAAGTAGTTTGGCTTAATTTGGCTTTTTTTTTAATAGTTCTGAGACAATAACTATACATGCAGAAACTGGGAGTTGCACCACATGAAACAAACTAACTTTGCCTTGTCATAAAAAGGTCAAATTACCTGATATTTTAAGATACTTTTTGACATTTTTTTACTTTTACCTCTCTCTTTGTTCTCGTAAAAACAATTTATTAATAGGTCAATGCTGATTTATAATTATTATTATTCATTGTTGTTTTTTATGTTTGTTTAACAATGTCAGTCCATAAAGTTTGAAAAGTTAAAACTACCTGAATATGTAGAAATTAACTAAACATAATTCATAAATTCTGTAAAAGTTTATTGTGATAGTTCATGGTATAATGCTTGAACTAATGTTAATATGACAAAAGTGTTACCAACATATTAACCTGTTGCAGGTCCTCTTTACCTTTGTATGAACAAAGCTATCTCTTGATAATTGTGACAGTTCTTAATCCTTGCACATTCTTGAAATATTAACCTAGAGCTACATTTAACCCACTTGTTAGACTTTAAACCACAGTGCAGTGACGTAACATAAAAGTCTGAGCTTATTAGTTGTGCTGTACTCACATGCAGCCAGAGATCAACACACTCCCCTTTTGTCTAGTTTAGAAGCGCCTCCTCATTTGAAAACATTCCCAGGCGTCTTAAATGTATCGGATCTCCAGTTGCTGTCTACTGTTCGAACTTTAGAGGTATGGTGAGAGCACTGAGTGTTCCCGCTCTGGGTCTATTAGCCTGGCTAAGCTTGTTCTCCTCAGAGCCTGTGCAGGCTGGAAAGGTGCTTGTCATACCAGTGGATGGCAGCCACTGGCTGAGCATGAAGATCTTGGTGGAAGAGTTGTCTCAGAGGGGTCATGAGATGGTGGTCCTGGTTCCTGAAATCAGTTTTCTGATTAGGGCGTCTGCCAATTACACCACTAAGTCTTTCCGTGTGCCCTACACCATTGCTGAGCTAAATGCCAACTTGGACCACATAAGGAAGAATGCGTTTGAGAGGCCTCCACAATTTACTGATATTTTTGTGAATTTGGGGAACCTGATAGAGTTCACAAATATGCAGGTGAAAGGCTGTGAAGGGCTGCTGTACGACGAGCCCCTGATGAAGAGTCTAAGAGAGACGGGATTTGATGTTTTGCTCACCGATCCTTTCTTACCGTGTGGGACTATCCTTGCCGATTCCTTCTCACTTCCCGCCATTTATTTCTTGCGTGGAATTCCCTGTCGGCTTGATGAGTCAGCCGCTCAGTGTCCCTCGCCTCCGTCTTTTGTCCCGCGCTTCTTCACCGGTTACTCAGATAAGATGACTTTCCCTCAGAGAGCAAGAAACATGATTATGACAGTTTTTGAAATGTTCCTTTGCCGTAAACTGTTTGCCAGCGCTGATGAACTTGCCAGTAGATATCTGCAGAAGGACACTACATACAAAGAGCTATTAGGACATGCTGCAGTTTGGCTTCTAAGGTATGACTTTACCTTTGAGTTCCCCAAACCTCAAATGCCAAACATGGTCCATATAGGGGGCATCAACTGTGCAAAGAGGAGTCCACTGACAAAGGTAAGATGTTAATAAGCATAGCCTTTAACAACAGTGAAATGAACTTAATTAGAGGTGTTTAAGTTACCGGTATTGATAATCTGCTCACTATCTCTCAAAATGCTGTTTTACACCAGCACAAATCCTCTCATTATAACAAAGCAGAAATACAATGTCAATGAAAGATTCATTGTGAAGTTGATTCTTAAAATCATATACTTCACACTTCAGTACAACAAGTGACAAAATAGACAAAAATAGATATTTTAATGTTATGATTTGGTGTCTAAAACTAAATTCAAAAGTAAAAAAAAAAAAAAAGGCTATATTAGGGAGTGGAAATGACTAATGAGCGAATAAGTGCTCATCTGCCGCAATTTACTGGTTACAGTGGTGGTTCCATCATGTGTTATTTAGATTTTGGTTTGTTCCCTTTCAAGGGAACTTGTGCTGCGTCAGAGTAGTAATGGGCACTTTCAAATCAGTGGTTCGGAGTGCGTATCAAACTGCTTAAGTCAGGTGATTTTAGTAAACAAGACTTCGTTTCGTCATAACTGTTTCGAAATGTTTCGGAATTTCAATGGTTCACCATTTTGAACAAGTTGAACAAGTGTCTATGTTTTTTACCTGATCTTTAAACTTTGTTGCATTGACCAGCAGGCATCACCAGCGTGTAGTGTTTCGAATGCATCGAAATAGGGAGTCATTTTGCAAAGCAATTGGTTCAATTGATTCGATGCTTTGAAAAGCTTTCTCCCATCACTACGTCAGAGTAGCGCCGCTATGGAAATGCCTCTATGTGATTGCATCTTGAAGCACATGTGAAATCAGTCCAATGGCATGACAGAACATCATAAGCAGGTGACGTCATGACCAGGAAGCTAGCACACCCAGACCAAATGCTATATGTCCCAATTTAGAGGCTGCATCCTTAGAAGGACTCGGACTTCAGAGGCTGCACCCTTCGAAGGCAGTGAAGGTTGGACCGAGCGTTGTTAAATGGGACGATCTAGCCTACAGACGATTGTTCTTGCCGCCTTTCACCTGTGACAGCTGCCATTGATGAGTGACAGTAACGTTTGTACGGGACTTATTTGAAAGTTATATTGAACACTCTGAAAACAAAACGGGGTTCACAAACTGTCTAAATTCCACCATGGTCCATTTCTGTATATAATAAAGAGTATAAACTATATATAATCACATCTTAGTAAGATATAAGTCAACATTTGAACCGTTTAAAAGTTTTTTATTTTTATTTTTACATTTGTATCATTAGATATTTAAATAAGTTGAAACCCAATACTTGTGATTAAAAGTGTCATTTGGCAATTTCTCCCCAAAAAATCCTGTCGTCACTGGCGTGCAAGGAATTCTGGGGTAGGCAAGGCTGCAAGGATACATCTGTTGTACTCTTAATTTCATGGGAAACAAGGACGCATTTGAAGGAGCCTTCAATTTAGGACAGCCTTTGTCGCGCAGCAGTGACCCAATCGGCCTTTGAATGTAATTTTAGTGTCTATGTTTAAAATACAGCATTTTAAATTGTCTTGGTTTTTGTTTAGTGCTTGTTTAATATATATTATAGATAAGTATTTAACAGTGTTCCATTATATTTGGGTTTTTGTTATAATGTGAGGTAAAAAATGTGTCCTCATCCTAATTTTTTAAACTCTATAGCATATCCAGTATTTTGCATATCTGAAAAAAGTCAAAATATTTGAATAAGAAGACCTGACATTTCATGGTTGCCATTAGTTTCGCATTTGTCAGGAAGAATCATTTATTTGAAAAAAGTATTAAAGTAAACATATCTGTACAATAGTTACTTTGTAATATACTTTTCCCTTTTTCTTTTTTTAATTTTCATCTATGCCATTACAAGCCATATTTATTTTCTTAGCAAATTAGACATAATTCTCTGTTCAGACTATTGTAATCAAGCTCTCAATATTGTTTCCCTCTTTTGAAAAGTAATTTGCAACTGCAGCAAATGGGAGCGCAAAAATATACTTGTTGTATTTTCTGTTTATCACTTTAGACAACTACCACTTCAGCTTCTGAAAACCCCAGCAATGTGAAAAGGGTCCATTAGCTGCGGTCTGGTTTCCAGTGTTGACATTCAGAACAACGGTTGCTTGAGTGATATTGCTTAACAAGTAAATTATTTCGGGATTTTGGTATCAAACTGATTAGAACATTAATAGCTGAATTCGTAAGGACTTAAGGACGCTCCGGGTGAGAATATGCTAGTTCTCGCGAGAACCAAGTTCGTTTTAGACTTCTAATTCGCGACCGGTGTTTTGTTTTGCTCTATCCTTTGCGCTTCCGCGTTTGACACCGGGAACTTACGGTTACTTTAGTTACTTTTGCCTGCGTCCTACGTCATACGCTGGAACACCAGTCTCTCATGAACGCGCGTACGACAGTTAGCGAAAGTTAGCGAAAGTTAGAGATTACAGTTTGTAAAGTTTTAAATATGGATGTTTTCTTACACAAACGCATCGCTTCGCTTCAGAAGGCCATTATTAACTCCCCAGAGCCATGTGGGGCACTTTTATAATGGATGGATGCACTTGTATGTACTTCAAAACAGAAACAGCAATTCACTGCCTTAATTAAAGCTTGGAAGAGCCATGACATCTCTGATTGTATTCGTCTGAAAGAATAATGTCATATACACCTAGAATGACTTGAGGCTGAGTAAATCATGGGCTAATTTTTATTTTTGGGTGACCTATCCCTTTAAGTATGGTTTGGTGTTCAATACTGTAATCTAGCATGTATCTATTTGAGTAAAGCCACTAGTAAATATCTGACTATTTCCACCTTCACCACAAAAGTGCTTTGTGGGATTAACTCCAAATCCTGTAGGATATTTTAACAGTTTGTTCAATCATGTTAAATTTACTCCAGATTTAGATTCACTCGTGTACTGAATTGCTCTGAAACCAGTGCAGGCTTTTATATTATGATGTGTTCGGTCTAGACCTAGTTCATTAGAATTTTAATCAAACACACTCCTCTGCATCTGACTTTGTTTAAACATACGTATATTGTTTCCATCTGTTGTAGTTATTTTAATTATGAAATAATGATTAAGTGGCATATAAAATAGGCCCCCGAGTGTAAAAATGTGGTCTGTAATCTTTCTCTCAGCACTTTCTTTCAATCAGAGTAGTGTGCTTTTGACCACTTAAGCCCCTCATGACACAGCACCTTGTATATGAGGGAGGAGCTGGGAATAATTATTTAATTATAGTTGCACAATATATGAGGCAATCATACTACAGCCAGACTATAGAGACTTGCAGAACTGTTTTGAAAGTACACAACTTGACAAAAGTTAAAGATAAAAGCAATAAATTTAACCTTGAAAAAAAAAATTCTTTCTTAAATTCTTGAATGATTTATGGGTTGATCATACTTTAAATTTTTTTATTAAAATACATGTAGATATTTTTAGGAGGCATAAAGTAAAAAAATGCAACTTTTTGTTTAGTGCTGATTTATAAATACTATTGTTCATTGTTGTTATTCGTGTCTGTTCATAATAGATTAATGTTAATTTATACAGATTGAAATGTCACAAATGTATGTAGAATTTAACTTTAGCCTATAAAGGTATGGTAGACAATTTTTCGGTGAGGCTAGCAATAGCGAGCTAGCTTTGAAAGCATAAGATCCCACCCTCCCTTCAGAGCGTCTCCAAAGCTACGCCTCCTCCAAAACACATGAACGAGAACAGCAATGAGCAGACAAAAGCATCACGGGAGTGTAAGGGGTATACAGTCAAAGACCCAGAACCCGATATGAAGAAAGAAGACCCGGAGTCAGAATTATAAAAAATTTAAGAAAAGTTTTACTGAAGATAGTTTGCATTCTCATCAGCAGAAGTCAGCTTCAAGACTCACATAGGAGTTCGTAGGCCGCACCCCTTACAGTTACAAAGATCACAGCAGTTATACCATTTCCAAGGTCTAAGCTACGTCATTGCTTACAGGTTGAATGATTCTCATTGGCTAAGAAACATTAAAGCCTAAACAATTTAACACATGTGAGGAGATAGGGCTGCCTATCGCCATTAGTAAAGATAGTTGTCGTCCACTCATTGGATTTAGGTCTGTGGTGGCCTCGCAGGTTAGAGAAGGGCGCCGGGGTGTCTGGTCCGACCGTCCAGAACCTACATAGAATGTCATACGCACACACACACAAATAACAGACACTAGCAAATAACAGCTCCCATCAAGGCTGAAGAGAGTCTGAGCTCCTTATTATCAGTTAAGTATACCAAAACATAATGCTAAAACATTCACTCGTTTGGGAGAAAAACAGATAACTGGCATTTACTCCCAAGGAAGGAAATATACTGGAAAGAATACATTTTAATACAACAATTAAAGTTTGATAGTAACGCTCAATATAGCTTGACTATATGTCCAGCGAAGAATCATATGTGCCCACGTTGCCTTTAGGACCCTCTAACCTTTCTACTGATCCCAGAGAAAGAGACAAACGGCCTTGTGGGTTACGTGGCCTTCGTGTCCTGCGTGTACTACGTGCAATCTCAAAGTAAGATTGGGATGCACCTAAAAGAAACTGGTTACTTGCATCCATGCATTTAAGAAAATATAATTTCACAAGCACAAGAATATAAAAATTATTATGTGATAATGAATATATTTGATTATTGATTTTTATAAAGGAAGTATATAACCATTCAAAATGACATATGATTATATATGTATTTGAAGAGGCAAGGGATTTTGACCAACCCTTCAGTCCCCCGTTTTAGACCAATGTGGGGTCCAATACCGCCACGTCTGGTCTAACCAGTGAGGTCACTACGGAAGGGAGGAGTGGTGACGCATGCTCCCCTGATGGGTCACACTTGTCTCTTCACCTCGTCATGGACATGCTGGATACTAAAAATTCCAGTCCCCATTAAGAGGCTCTCCCACCTTCCACTCACAACAGGACATCAATGTCATTCTTCCTCAGTTTATCAGTCAGGTTAAAATTTTTATAAAACACATAACTG